TTTCCATGTTGAGTAATTGCTAGAATTCAGTTTTGCAATTTGCATTTGACTTGAATTCAACATTTTTGTATCGTCAAAAAAATTAATTTTCTTTTTTCATATGAAACTACAGTTTAGTGTTTACGGTTTTTTTTCTTTATTATTATTTAATTAGCTATGATCTTTTCTTCAGGACTCATAATCTTTTGTTGTAAAACATTTTTATAGCCTCGAAATTTCACAACAAATTAATAAAAATAGAGAGCAAAATGATTCTTCTTACCTTGTATCCAGCGCAGCATCAAGCGAGATCATACCTAATTAACTTGTAATCCAAAATAGGTGTAGACGGAAATAATAAGATCACAAAACACATTCTTTATTAATACAGGAAAATAGATAAAAATTCGTTAGTATTCCAAAATATATACATTGAAAAAGGTGTTATATTATAGAGAGTGTCATATCACTGTCCTTTCATGAAGGAGTGAGAAAAGTAAATGTAAAGAATAAGAGAATTACGCAGTTAACTCTTTTGCAGGTTTTCCAGTTCATACAGTTTATCGCGCTATTGGCGACAGTCCATCACTATATGCATACCAACATATATTTCATGCTTATTGATAATATTCTATAATTTTGACTTACGAATATTTGTTTAAACTTATTTATTTAAATACAATTTTTATTTATTACAGTTAAATACAATTTGTACTTGAACAAATTGTATTTTAACTGAGTATTATATAATAAAGATTACAAAGCATCAAGTGTCAACACTTAATTTATCTATGTTGAATGTTTAGATATTTTATAATCTTTTTATGAAATGTGCTGAAACTTCAGAATTCATCAAAAAGATGATATACACACTCTTGCAAAAAAATCAAGCACCATGAAGGAAGTGGTTGCTATTAGCTCATACACAGATAATAAAATGATTAAAAAATCAAGGTCATAGTACCTGCTCACGACTCACAATCACCCATTGAGTGTTCAAATTAGTAGTTGGTCGAGCCGCCCCTGGCAGCAATGCATGCTTGAATTCCTCGAGGCAAGAAATGGTAGAGGTTCCTAATGTCATCTTGCGACACATTCTGCCAGGTAATTCATCAAACTATTATAGTCGCTGCCGGGTCTGCGATATTTTGTCGGTGCCTGAATCTGGCAGTCTACCATATCTCAGACATGCTCGGTTGGTGAAAGGTGTGGTGATCTTGCTGGCCAAGAAAGAGTATCAACCGCACGGAGACAGTCCAGAGATATGCGAGCGGTATGTGGTCTGGCACTATCTTGTTGGAAAATGGCCCCAGGATGACGTTCCATGAAGGGTGATGCAACCGGCCGCAGGATAATATCAACATATCGTTGAGCTGTAAAAGATGTACGGAAGGATGACTAAAGATGACCTGCTGTCATAATAAATAGCGCTGCACTTACCATCACACCAGGAGGTTATGGCTGTATGCCTTTGTAAAACAAGGCATTGAGAACTAGGCATTAAGAACTAGGCATTGAACAAAGCGAAAGTGCCGAAACGTGTTCGTCTTATTTTTTCTACCTGCTGATTTGAGTTATCGACTAACTCCAGTAATGTATTTATATGTGTTACATAGTTCTGTCTTCTTCAAGCTTCAAACTGTAAAGCTTTGCAAAGAAATAGTTTACTTGAAAGATTAGACGTTTCATGTACTTGCCTGAGTTTTTCCCAGGTGGCTTTAGCAGTAGTTTCATGTTTAATGTGAATTAATTGTCTGTCTTCGATAAATAAATTTATCATCGCACGACATTGCTGATCCCGTTTATTCCATTATTCTGTAATGGGGCTTGGAGGTACATCTTCGATTGCATCTTAAAGAACCTCCTTTATTAGTAGCATTTGCATTTTGAATTTCCATGTTGAGTAATTGCTAGAATTCAGTTTTGCAATTTGCATTTGACTTGAATTCAACATTTTTGTATCGTCAAAAAAATTAATTTTCTTTTTTCATATGAAACTACAGTTTAGTGTTTATGATTTTTTTTCTTTATTATTATTTAATTAGCTATGATCTTTTCTTCAGGACTCATAATCTTTTGTGTAAAACATTTTTATAGCCTCGAAATTCACAACAAATTAATAAAAATAGAGAGCAAAATGATTCTTCTTACCTTGTATCCAGCGAGCATCAAGCGAGATCATACCTAATTAACTTGTAATCCAAAATAGGTGTAGACGGAAATATAAGATCACAAAACATCTTTATTAATACAGGAAAATAGATAAAAATTCGTTAGTATTCCAAATATACATTGAAAAAGGTGTTATATTATAGAGGTCATATCATGTCCTTTCATGAAGGAGTGAGAAAGTAAATGTAAAGAATAAGAGAACGCAGTTAACTCTTTTGCAGTTTTCCAGTTCATACAGTTTATCGCGCTATTGCGACAGACAGTCCATCACTATAGCATACCAACATATATTTCATGCTTATTGATAATATTCTATAATTTTGACTTACGAATTTGTTTAAACCATTTATTTAAATACAATTTTTATTTATTTACAGTTAAATACAATTTGTACCTTGAACAAATTGTATTTTAACTGAGTAGTATATATAAGATACAAAGCATCAAGTGTCAACACTTAATTTATCTATGTGAATGTTTAGATATTTATAATCTTTTATGAATGTGCTGAACTTCAAATTCATCAAAAGATGATATACACACTCTTGCAAAAAATCAGCACCATGAAGGAAAGTGGTTGCTATTAGCTCATACACAGATAATAAAATGATTAAAAAATCAAGGTCATAGTACCTGCTCACGACTCACAATCACCCATTGAGTGTTCAAATTAGTAGCCTGATTGAGATCGCTGGCCCTGTCCTCTCCAGACACGAACACGGTGGTCATCAGCTTCAAGAGTGAAGCGGGATTCATAGCTGAACACTATACGATGCCAGTCTGATGGCATCTATGATGATTGGCTGCGACACCACTCCAGACAACTCCTTTGATGTTGTGGAGCAAACGTCTTAAAGGCCTCTGTGAGCGTAATCCCACCTCGGGCAAGCGCCGTGAGATGGTGTGCGGTGCCACGGGAGGTATAGACATTGCTGTATTGCGTTGGATAGTCGACAGTGATACGGTAGGGGGCGGGTCAAGCCTTGCGAATAATCATCCTATCTTGCCTCGCATTTTTGCTCTATGGTCTTCATTTCGTCGGCAATTTCCTTGTAGCAACCATAGCTGCCAACATTTTTGCACAGCAGTGTCTGAACGCTGCAGATGGCGGCCTATTGCTCGATATGACCACCCAGCTTCACGCAACCCTACAATGTGACCATGTTCGAAGTCGTTTAGTTGTATGTAAGGTCTTCGATATTGTCATAATGGCATCTTTAGTTTCTTCTCTACAGAATTACAATGGCAGCAGCGAAAAAAGATAAATGTTTCCACCTCCATTATTGGTTTTATACTTTTCGAATTGCGCACTAGAAATGCCTTCTACTATTGCTATTCCTGTTCTTTTGCCTTGAAACTTTGATCATTTGCATGTTCGATCAAAATGTTTTTGCATACCAAATTTCGTCCCAATTGCAAAAGTTGTTCTTGGTGCTTTGATTTTTTTTTTTTTTTTTTCAGAACAGTGTATTCACATGGTGCTTGAGTGAGAATATCCTCCAAATTCGGTGGCATCGTAACTGTTTCTGTGTTTATTCTTCATATGAAGAGCAGAAACATAAAATCTCATTAGAGCCCTTAGATGAATAATATTTTACTTGCAAAAATATTTTAAATATTGCATATGTTAATATGACATATGATGGATATCAACAGCCTTTAACTCCATTGAATGTAACGTGTGGATGAAAAATGATAAATGCTTTAGAAGAGTTTTCATGTTTTAAGGATGTTTCTGAAGTTATAGTAAATTTAAATAAAATTACCCTGTGTAAGTGTTACTACTAACTACATAAACTGTAGTACTGTACTTTCTTTCCAATAGCTCATCACTTAAAGTTTGGGACAGACTTATTCTAATTATTAGTCTTATTTTAAACATTTGATAGTCATGCCATAGCTTTGTTTTTCATCTGTAACCTCTTATTTTGGGAGCACACAAATTCTATTTCTTCCTGTAAGTCTTGATTGAGTGAAATGGCAACAAAAATGTTAAAATTTTGAAGCAGGATCAGTATCATTTATCGTTCGGTGACTATTATTATGCTAATTTCAAATATATAACTTAAGTGCTATTTCCAGAAGAATAAATTTTTATCATTTGCTATACCTAATGAAATTTTTCAAATAAAGCAAATTTCAGTTTCATTGCTTTTCAAAATTTTATGTGCTATATGTTAATTCTTAAATATTTGGAAAGCTAGCAGTATGGTGATTAATCTTCATCTGTTTTAATGTGTTAATTTGGAAACTGTTTTTATTTATATTACTCACTTTGCATAAAGTCCATTTGCATAGAACATAATTTCATATGAATGTTAAAAACTAATATGTATCAATATTTTTCCTTATTCATTCTAGAATTTAAAGTGCTTTGTTTAATACTGCATTCAGTAATATAGAATACTGAACTTAATGTGTTGTGAAGTGTAATTATTATTAATTTTTCAACAGGAAATATTTTTGATTAATGTATGTCATTTGTAATATGCAACATAATGAAACAAATTTTGGCCTTTTAATGGTAAATATTTGACAGCTCTTCCTACATATTCATCCAGCACTAATTATATCTTCATTAGAAAACAATAGTTAGCAGAATACTACAAATATTATATAAAGAAGTTTGGAAAAGCTATTTGCAGTTTTTTCTTTCATCTTATTTTTAGGATAGGCATGGTTTTTTTTGGGAGGGGCTATAGTTGAAGAATCATTGTATTGTCTTATAATATTCATTTGCAGTCCAGTCTCTGTCTTAAATGTGTAAATATTATTTCAATAGACAATTATATTTTCATAATATATTGAATTCAAGTTTTAGTTGTTTGCTTTTTTTTTCTCTACTGCAGGGACTGCCCTAACTGCACCTTGTTCTGTCCATCAGAAAAAGATGAATTTATTCCTTTTGATCCACCATTGGTTTCCAAGTATGGGCCAATATCACGATGTTCAAAAAGTCTTATACGTGGACCTGCCCCTATACAAGTAAATGCTGTTTCACAAATGGGAGAGCTTACTAGTCCTACCTCTGTTGTTAGACATCCTTTACCATCAGCTTCATTAGCACCATCTTTCTATGCAGCAACTTCATCAAGTAGGTATTTTTTAATCACTTAATTTTACAACACAATTTTGAGGTTTTATTTGTATAAAAATGTGTTTTCCTGTTGTAACTGAACTTTAGTATTTTGCTGTTTTACTACACTAATGTTTTTAATTTTTCTATGTATAGAACTTTATTGTCATTGAAATGTTAGTTTTTGAGCTTAGGAATATTCCTCTTTCCATGTGCTTTAAGTATCACTTAATAACTTCTAGTAATTAAATAGAATTAGGCAATTAGAATTTAAAAACTCTAAAGATATTTTGTAATGAAATTTTTAAGCTTAAATTCAATGTCTATAAATAAAAATAAGTTTAATGCAGTTCAACTTTTAAAAAAAATACATTGCTAAAGGGGAATGCTGTCTAATATAGTAGTTGTAGGTAAATAAAAAAAGTAAGAGAGTAGATATGTTATAAAATTCTATAAAAAAAGGATTTCAGTTTGTTGGTTTATTTGTAATTAACACTTGAGAACTGCCTGGCTGGAAAGATATCTTCATGAAAGACATTCTCAGAAGAAATCAGCTGTTATTTACTTATGTAGAGAAAAACTGCAAAAACTCCATGCAAAGTAAATATAGATGGTTGTAGAATATACTGTATATGTTAGTTTCTTATAATATGAGGTATACACCCTTATAATGTGCTCTTAAGTAGCAATCGAAACTCATAGTAAACTATGATATACCATTATCAAAATATCACAAAGATTAAGATTTTTCAGGGTCTGTTTTATGTGAGAGTAGATGTCTGGAGCCAGAATACTGTGTTCAGTTGTGCAGACAATCAGAATTATGATCTAGATGAGTGGGAAATTTTGTCATTTTTTCCCTATGAATTTTTACCCTTTAGCTTTTCATCACTGAAAGAATTTAGATTAGAAAAATGTCTGGTAAAAATATGCTAATTTGACTGGAATTCTAAGGGTGCATAAGGCTTGTGACTTGGCTTTTATAGAACCTTTGGTCATTCTCGTGGATTGTAGAACAGCTAAGGCATATTTAAATGTTTCCTGTAACCATATACATTTGTATGAGTTGTCAGTATTCTTTTCATGCATGCCTTAATCACAGTTAACGCTTCCTTTCACAATACAAAATACATCACAGGTTGCTTTCATTTTTAACGTGAAGTAAAACAGCTACTCTAGTATCATCAGTCATCTCAATCAAGCCTTGTTGTTGTCCTCCCTTGTTGTTCCCTGGGACCAAGAAAACATCTGTTAGCTAGAGTGACTTGTAATGTAAGTTTTTATTGCTACAAGTGAATAAAAAAATTAAATGAAGCAAAATTTTATATAATTCTGATTAAGTATTATGTCTATTTTAAACATTTATATGAAGCAATAAACATAATACCTATCACATTATTGCAAAGAAAATTATTTTAAAATTAATTGGCATCATTTTTGATCTTTTGAATTTGTTTCCTCATTCAACAACATCACATTTTAAAATTCTGTGAACTCTCAAAAGAGGTCTTTTATTGCAAAAAGTTCTTTAAGCAGGGAGCTTTTGAGAAATTTCCTAGTTATCACTTTTGGAAGTTCCATTGTCAGCGGGTGCTTTTATGTCTGCTATGATGTCAGGAATTATTGCTTCACCTGATACAGATGCAATACGATAGTGGTGGAGGCACGATTTTTGTACAATTTTCCCACAATTAGCAACTTCATCAAACGCTACAGAAGCAAACAATTATACTTCACACTAGTCTCGTTACCTTCTAATGTTTAATTTTCAGCCAAAAAAATCTGTAGTGTTAAAAGCAATTTTTTGTATTTCTTATGAGAGTTGTTCTTTTGAAAATGTATTGATAATCAAAATGGTAGAAGTCATTGCTGTCATCGGTAGCTTTGATGCAATATTTGGCCTGGAACTTTCAAAAATGACCTTTAAAACTCAAGATAAGTCCAGAGGTCACATAACTGATGTGACATGCAATAGCATCTGTATCAACCCAGTGGCTTTCTGTCCTTTGATTTCAGTATGAACTTTATAGTTTTTCACACTAATAAAAGCTTTTTGCTTCTCAGTTTGAGATTTTTTATTAGTTCTTTGATTATTTCTTCTTAAAGTGCAAAAGGTGCCCATAGTTAAGGGTTAGCTCTAAATGCTAACCCAGCTTTGAATGCTAACAGACAGGCATTCCACCTTAATTCTTTTAAGGCACCTTGATGTTAAATATGTACCAGTGACAGATTTCATTTCTTGATGCTAGTCATGTGTACACAATATCCGATTCGTTTCACGATCATAATGTTTTTTTGGACTAAAAACTGTCTTTCCTAAGAAGATAAAACCAATTTCATCTATGTTATAAAGATCTCAATCTTGATACTTATGTAAAAATTCATTCACCACAAACTTTTTCTATTTTGGGGGGAAGCATTGTGATATTCATTTACTTTCTACCTTCTCAAAATAATAATTAACACCTCTTTATATCTTGGGTATTTTTCACACACATACAGCTACACATTGATTCGACTAAACTGAACTAAAAATAATTGAACTATATACATAATTACAATATTTGCAGTATAGTTCCATTACAAGTATTGGCTCTTATGAGCCCTTCTGCTACTTAGACCCCTCTCTAGGTCTTCTCTTCAACAACTTACTTTATGTGCCTCTCTGTCTGAGAGCAATAAACTCCCATGCATTAGCTGACATCACCCATATATCACATACCTAATTGAAAATTGAAACAGGGTAAAATCGTATTGAAAATATGACCAAAAGAATGGTAACATCAAGAAAGTCACTTATATATTAATGTCACCAGTTCAATCAAATAATGAAACTGGAAGATACATAATAAAAGTACTACATTATGCTAGTATATTACATCTACATCTATTCTAAAACCACTTCTATAAACAGTTAATAATCAAAATTATTGTAGAATGCAATAGAATGATTCAATGTTTTGTTTCCACATAATAGCTGTGGGAAAAAAGAAAAAAGCTTAAGAGTTTATATATATATATATAAAGAGCTTTTTTTCATGCTAGTCACTTGATAGTTAGATGCCTAAAGTGTTCCTTTTCACTCCAGTCACTCGATAGTCTCCAATATGGACATCGTATCAGCATTGGTCAACTTGACACCTGGACCTTATGAAATTGTTGTATCATATTTGGATAATGGCCATCACTGCAGCTTAGAAGATTCCGATGCATTCCTGATGATGAACGTTAATGTATTGTGATCCATATTTGTTTTTACACATAATCCAAAGATCCACCCACATTTCGAGCTTTTTCTAGCACTAGATTACAGCATCCACTTCCTTTCCAATAGCTGCACTTTGGTTAATTTCTACCTAGCATAAATAATTGGATACATCACATCATCAGTCCATTGAGATAAGCAGGCACTAATACCTGTTGAGGATGCATCATACTGAATTCTAAAAGGTAACTTTAGAACTGTGGTATAAACGCTGTGTGTCTCCATAAGACACCCTTTTAATTCCTCAGATGCCTTGTTGTATTTCTCCATTCATCTCAGAAATTCTCTTTTCAATGAGCTCTGTTAGTGAGTAAACTGTCTCTGCATAATGTGAGGTGTAATCTCTGTAATAATTACACAGACACAGAGCATCGTTCAGTTACTTCTTCATTTGAAGCCTAGCCAATTTCTGGATGGCCTCCACTTTGTCAGAATCAGCCTGAAGACTGCCAGACTGATAACATACAAATGCTTCACATGAGTCTTAGCAAAGGAACATTTCTCAAGATTTACTGAAAAACCTTAGTTTTAACAGTTTAAAAAAGTAGTGTCAATATGCACTAAGTGTTCATATTAGCTCTCTCAATAAACTGCTATATCATAAACATAGGCTTGAATGAAATCTTAATAGTTAGTGATTTTTCGATTCATTACTCTATGGAAAGAACCTGTAGTGGTGTACAGCCTGAAAGACACGACTTTAAATCAATACTTGGCTGAGTTTCTTGAAGCACCCTAATGTTTGGCTCTCCTTTTCCAAGGGTATGGTCCAATATTCTTTGAGAAAAATCTACAGTTGATATCACATTGGTTTTTCCAGTATGGAGTAGCAGTTCTTTGGGTTTCACATGGAGAAATTGCTCAGTTTTTTAACTTCATTTAAAGATCTAAAATCAACACACATTCATAAAGGAGCATCTTTCTGCATGATACAGACAACAAAGTTTGAAATTTGCAGATTAATTTCTTCAGTCAGTATCATTGATAACATTTCTTCATCTTGTTTGCCTACTTGGGGTCTTAATGCTTAAGGAATTAAGTTTTTATATTTACCCAACAACTTCATCATATCTTTCCTTTTATCAACATCTAAATGACTTAAGTGTACCATGCAAAGACAAAAATGATCTGACTTATCATTCATGCTTGGTGTGGCATGGGCTCTTTCTAGTTCTTTCTCATTCTCAAATATTACACCCACTGCTTGTACATTTGGATTCAGTTTCCTAATTTTATTTACATAAACCCTCTTTATAATCACCATCTTTCAGTTTCACTGTATAAGAATTTGCATTACAGTGAGTTGCTGTATGTGTGTATCCTGTCCACCTAGCATAGAATATATTACTAGAATTTAGAACTAACACTTTGGCGGTTGCGAGATTAAGCAGTTCTTTCTTCCCAAATGTGCAGGATATCTATCATTCAAGTTGGGAACAGATAACACTTGTTTTCTCTCTAGATGCTTTGTTAAATGTCGCTGTCTCTGAGTGGAGACCTTTTTGAAGAGGAAAATTTGCATGCTTCTTTATAGAAAATTACTGCTTTACTCTGATTTTTAAAAAATAACAAAAACTTACATTGTATTATTATAAGTAATGAATTTAATAAAAATAATACTTTATTTGCCATTATTGTTTAAGATGTTATTAATGTGTGAGCATAATGATGTTTTTGTACTGAATTTTTAAAACCCAGCAAGACATGTTAGACCATTAATTTTCAAATCAACAAAGCATATAATATCATAATA